AGTTTAATTTTATAATTTTCAATGTTTTTTAATAATTAATATGTAATTGTTTTAGGTAATGACTGTTTTATATTTACTGTTTTATTGGATTAATGTATGCTGCCCAGAGTCACTTTCCATAAGATAGGTAGCTAAATAAATTTGATTAACCTACAAAATATTTGGTTACTAAAATTGAGCCATACATTGTTACTTACATACTTTTAATAGCTGGTTAAGTAACCCATCTTACCAGTGGGACTATAGTTAGGGCGAGACTAGCAAACTAGAGGTCCAATTTCATATTAGAAAATATTATGTAAAGGCTTATTTCAATTCCAAGTTAGAAAGTCTGGACCAGTACCATAATAACTATTATATGGATAAATTAAATATCACAAAGCAATAATCTAACATTGGTCTTGATGAAGTTTTTTGATGAAAAACAAATTTATACAATCTGAATTTATATAATCTCAAAATTTATATATGATAGAAATTTATATCTCAAAAAACACTTCAAGAACAAGTACAATAGTGATAATACTAAAATTATTATCAAATTCAACTTTCTAGATCATAGACAAAAAGAACTATCTCTATTTTTAATAAATTCTTATGGAAAAAACTGAAAAGCAATTCCAAGTTAACAACAACACTTTCTGGTTGCAGATACTATTGAGTTTGTCATGAGTACTGTTTCCTTGCTCTACTGTAGTAGATAAGAATGTGTTTCCACATCCGTAACTTGATTTCAACAAGCTGTGGAATGAGATTGAGAGAATAAGCAGCAAACTAGAAGCCTCATAGGCTTCAGGTCAGTGATTCCTTTCCTCTCTGCTTGGTATTTTAGACAAGAAGTTTTCAAAATTACTCAAGCTGAGAATCTGTTAGTTTTTTAAAACAATCTGCCAGAACTCCAGATCTAGAGACAAAGCTCTAGTGAGAGAAAATTGGCTGTGCTAAAGTAAACTTTTTTTTTTTGCCCTTAGTCTCTCATGGAATTTCATTGACTTCTCACAGAACCCTAGGATTTCACAAAACACTTAGATGGACAATGAATTCCACAGTACATCAATGGAATGGATGTTGCTTCCATAGTGAACAGTGAGCTAAGGATAGGAGTGAAGAGACTCCTGAAATTCAGTATGACAAAGCTGGCTATTAAGAAAATAGTAAAAAGAAAGGGGTAAAATGGCTAACTGATAAATGAAATGCACCATACCACTTGCCAATGAATCCTACACAAACCTTTCAGGAAGACAAAATCTATAAAGTCTTCAACTGCTAGCTAGCTATAAGAACATAACTAAAGTTATGTAGAACATAACTAAAGTTTAAATCATGCGAACTTCTTGTTCTGTCAGGAGTGCTTTAAAAAAACACAAAAAAACAAGCAATTTAATCATAGGCTCAGATGCATTTCCTGACTCCCAGTCCAACTTATTCAATGATCAACCAGAGGATGATATCGTAAGTGCATGTCTGTGTCTTCTCTCATTTATCAAGGCTTGCTTCTGGTTAGCAATCTATTTGGGAGAGTATTTTCCCTCCTCAACTAAGTATCATATCTCTCCTCTGAGAAATAGGACTGCTTTTCTCTCTCTCTCTCTGAATGCCTCCTGCCAAAAAACTATGCCTCCATAGCTCAGTTCTCGGCTGCAGAGACCTTTCCGGAAGGCCTCTGACGGTGAAATGCAGGCCGGGGGGCACTACACGTGTCAATCCAGAGCTTGGTTCTCAGCTGAAGAGGCCTTTCCTGAAGCCCTCTGACGGCAAAATGGAGGCTGAGGGTGACGTGCGTGAGCAGCAGCGAGTGGCCGCAGAAGAAATGGGCCGGCTGGGCAGGGCTGTTGGTGCCGGCGAGGTGAGACCTTGGAAAAGACACCCCTCAAAAATAAGACCTGATGCCTTTTTTGGAGGCAAAAAAAAATAAAATAAGACTGGGTCTTATTTTCAGGGAAACACGGTATTTGTTAAGTGACTGGAATTTCAACAGTACTGAAAAAAGTGACTTTTGACTAGTCCTCAGCTTACAACTGTTACAACCTCTCCACAATCATGTGATCATGATTTGGGTGCTTGGCAATCATCATGCATATTATGATGGTCGTAGCATCATTACAAAGATTCCAGATAAATTTGAAATAGGATTTTGAAATTATAGTATGGTTGTGGGAAAATATTTTTGTTTTGCATTCTAACAAAAAAAAACCCATGCCTAAAAATCAAGCTAGAGTGGGGGTGGTGGAGCTGCCCTATGGACCCCGCACCTACTTACCATTGCAGCCAGGCCTCCCATGAATCGACACCTGCCTCGCCGGCGCACTTCTGCAGCACCCCCCCCCCGGCCTGCATTTTGCCGTCAAGGCGTTCAGGAAATGCCTCTGTGGCTGAGAATGGAATTCCAGATTCCTCCCAGCCTGCATTTCACCGTCAGGGGCCTTTCCAGAAGGCCTCTGATGGCGAAATGCAGGCCGGAGCTCCATTCTCAGCTGCAGAGGCATTTCCTGAAGGCTGCAGAAAAAGTGGGCCGGCTGGGCGGGGCTGTCGGTGCTGCCACGAGGTGAGACCATGGAAAAGACATATAAGACCTAGTACCTCCTTTGGAAGCAAAAATAATAATAAGACCGGGTCTTATTTTCAGGGAAACACAGTAACATGGGAAGGAATTAAAGAGAATATTATGTTCGCACTTGTATGGGTTGTGATGCAAGAAGATGCATTATGAGCATGTCCACATTGGAGAGCTATTAATATAGCTATAAAGTTTTACCAATATTTCCATAAAGTTTCTCCCAGTGACTGTGCAGTTTTTACTTTTAAATTGTTTTAATGTTTTTGTAATGTTTGTATAATTGTTCTTTTTTTTTGCATTGTTTTAATTGTAAGCTGCCCAGAATCATGAATGGGAGATAGCAGTTATATAAATTGAACATACAAATAAATATATTTACATTTAGTGCCCTTCTGGGTTTCTCAATAGTGTGCTTTATCATTCTATACTAGTCAGTAGAGGACATAGAAGCTATATTGATAGCATATCACTCCCAGCAATATGGAATGTAGATACAATAAAAGAACAAGAGTGCAGAAGCAATAATTTTTCTTCTCTTGATGCACTAATAAGATTAAATACCATTGGACATGGCACCTAATTATCTTATCTATATACATTATGTATCCTCAGGGGAGTGACCTATGTAATTGGTTTTCACATCACACATAATGACTTCTTCAGAACAACTTATACAATTGAAGTTCCACAGCTCAAGGAGTCTAGGAAAATGGGGTTTCTGAAGATTAAAAGCCATTGTTGTAAATTTGAAAATTTCTCTATCTGCCTGCAGCAAATATATAAGCTCTTATTTCATTTTGTCTTCAAGCTGAATGTAAGTATCACCTGTAGAAACTCACATTTCAAGAAAGACAGCAACATACATAACAAGTATACAGTAATTACTTCAAATTATCAAATGCCATACAAGATTGCAAATCACCCAGTGATATTTAGCTGAATAAATACTATTTTGCCACTTCCAGATCAGATACAAGATATAACATAAGCAATATGATGGTAATAAGTGCCTATTTGGGCTTTCTATAAATGCCACATGGACTTTCAACCACAGTAAAGTTGTACTGTACATCACCCTAGAACATAATATTGCATAGTACAAGTAATATTATACTGTGTCTATCACATCACCATAAGAGAAAAAGAGTGATGGAAGAAACCTTCTTCCCTTGCTATATCAATAAGGTCCAATAGCATTGAATCTCCCATCTTCCTAACTGCACAGCCTCTCAGTTAGAGATGCTAGCTTTTCCCCAAAAGAGCACAAACTCTAATTTGTCTTCTGTTCACATTAATATCAATAAAAGCCATAATGAAACAGGTTGTTAACCTGAGAAGAGTAGATACATCACTGCAATTCATCCAAAGAATACAAAAAGGAATCATGATAAAATGACTATCACAAAACTAGGGGAAAAAAATAAAAGAACATCTGGAGAACTTTCTGGGCTATATTATAGGAAAACTTTATTATTGCACTTTGTGGCATGCATCTTGCCAACATTATTAATATACTAGAAGCATTTTAAATGGGACCATATGACAGAAAATGCTGTTAGGATATTAATGAGGAGGAGATAGGCAAACAAAAATACCACTTCAATTTTATTGTGACTATAGAAATTAACAAACAGGGAAAGTAATATTGTACTCATAAAGCAAGGATCTCAGCTGAACTACATTCAGACTGCAAACAAAGCATCGTGTTAGAAAGGTCCAAAACATCCCATGAGTACAACCATTAACAAACATCATCCAAAGGGTTATAAGCCTGTGCAATACCATATGCTACTAACATAAAAACAGTCTTCCTACAATTACTGCATCAGTATATATACCTGGAAAGTAAGCCAAAGTAAATTATACTTCTGAGAAATACTACACACATTTCCTAACCTGAAGGGCTAGCCAGGTTGTATATCTTCTGACACTTAGAAAAATCGACTCATTTATGGGGGACATGCACTTTTGTAAACTGAAACCTCTTTATGAAATGCATAAAGCTGTTTCTTAAATATTAATCGGTGAAATGGAAAAAAATATAGCGATTTGAAAAGACACAACACGCTTCATTGAAAGTGGTTTCTATTGTCACCTATTATGCTTAAACTGGAATCCCCATCTATTAATATCAGATACCGAGAAGCCACAACAAGGGGAAGGCTGCTACCTACTTGGGCGCTTCCCAACGGGTTCTAGCCGGCCACTGTTGGAGGCAGCACACCAGATGAAGCCAACCTTTGTCTAATGTCGAAAAATAGTTGGCACTTTTTTAAGGCGAGGGGAAGAAACACCACCAGCCCTGCTTCATGACACTCCCCCCCCCCATTTCCAGCCTCCGCTTTTGTGCCACACCCACCCGTCTCCAACATCTGCCGCAACCCACTCCCTCCTTTTCCCCTCGCTCCCTCCCTCCCCCCCACAGCCCTCTTCCCCACCTTACCGTGCTGGGTGAAGATATTGAAGCCGCTGTCGGCAGCTCGCGGAGCGGCCGCTTCTCGCCTCCGGCTGGCAGGCCTACTCCCGCTGCTATTACTCCCACGAAGCCCTCTGGGTTGAGACTGTGGCTGGGAAAGAGGCAGCTGCTGCTGTTGCGGTGGCGGCGGCGGCTGATGTTGAAGCGCGGCGGCACCCGGCTCGCCGACGCGGCCCACCTGCTGGCCCATCCCCGCTCTCCTCCCGTTCTGGGCCCCCGCCAGAGCCCTCCGTCTCCTCCTCCTGCTCACATTCCGCCCCCTACCCCGCTTTAGGAGCCGCACCCGGCGCTTCCCAGAGCCGCTCTGCCTCCTTCCCCCTCACCGCCGTTCTCCGGACAGGCCGTCACGGACTCGCCCCCTCAACCCCCGCAGCCGCCATCTTAACCACCGAGCTTGGGGAAAAGGACAGAACGACTCCCTTTCGCCCACTCTTCCCACCTCCGGTCCTCCAGGGACGTCGGTAGCTCCTCCTGGCCCCGCCTCGCCTACGCCTGCAAGCACCGCCCCGAATCGCGGGTTGTCGAAGCTGATCCCGCCCATTCCTTTGCGCGCCTCGGATCCTTTCTTTGGCAGCTTCCTTGGAAAGCCAAGAAGCGGCATTTCAACAAATACATCAGAAGGTTCAGATGAAACAGATAAATGCACCCAGGTTATTACTCTCAGTTCGCAATATCCCACGGTAAATATATTAACATCGTTTTTATTGTGTTCTCTCAAATGTAGGATCGCAGAGTACATTCCAATTAATTACTATATTTGCACAATCAAGCGCAGTAATGAATTATTGACTGACAGGTATCTGTCCAGAGCACAGAAACGTTGCAGTTAAGAGGAAATGCCTTGATTTCATTTCAATTGAAAGATTTAGTCAAAACTGGTATAGATAGTAGTTTTTAAGGAAAGAATGGTCATATGAAATGGAAATGCATAGAGGTGGAATGAAATGAAAAATATTTTTTTCTCTTTTTGTTCTATTAAATACAGGTAGTCTCGCTTATCAACCACAATTGGGACTAACAACTTGGTTGCTAAGCACTACAATCACCAAGTGGAAAGCTGACTTCCCATTCCATCATTAAGCAAAACATCATAGAGGAGGGAAAAGGGAATGGAAAAGTGTAGAAAAGAAGGGAAAAAGAAAAGGCCTATTATTTGCTATTGTATTTTATATTATAAACTAATAAAAAGATCAAAAAGGGAAAAGCAAGACATCATGTGGCCACAACTTTTGATTTTACTTCCACCTTCTCCATTAATTCTGCTTGTTCAAAATTGGTCCCAAACCCCCTGAATGGCAATCTCATGACCATGGGATGTTGTGATGGTTGTAAATGTGAAGATTGGTTGCAAAGCTTTTTTTTAAACACTGTCAGAGTATGAGCAGTCGCTAAACGAGGCAGTCAATAAGCAAGGCCTATCTATAAAATTTAAACAATATATAACAAAGAAATGGTAAAACTAGAAAACTATTTTTAATTCTAGGGTTCCATAAAGCACCCACACTTTTAAGTACTGATGATTATTTTAGTTTTGGTGTTTTGAGAATATGAAATCTGGTCACTTACTAAAAGATAAATTGATGACGATGACAAAATACCACTGACTCATGTCTCATGATGGTTTACAATAAAAAAATATTACAAAAAGTATTACAATGATGAGAAACAATCATTAAAATCACATTTTTTTAAAAAAAGTCTGATACTAACAAGAGGGCCAATTTTCTTGGTTTTGGAATGTATTTCAGAGAACGCTGATGATTCTTAAGAAGGTTCAGCTTTGAGTCACTGGTCTTTAGCTGAAACACATCAACATGGTGATAAAAGCTATCTGCCCTCACATGGAGGAAAACACTGCCAAAAATGGAGATAGGATGACATCATTGGCCTGACACAAGAAAAAATGCAGTTAAACTTGCAAAGGTGAAAGAGCTGACAAAACTAATTCACAAAAAGCTGAAAAGTGTAAAGGAGATATTTTAGGATCAGTGGAAGCATCAGAAAGGTGTGATGGTTAATGAACACTCTATTCAACCTTGGAAGCAGTTTCAGGGAAGCACAGCTGCCCCACCCCAACCATCACTATTGCGATAAGTTGAGTTTCTGAAACAACCAAAGTGGTGCAATATTGGACACACTGTTTTGATTTATTTTCAAATTGTTATTCACCAGCAGTGTTAGATCAGGAACTAGATAATCCAAAATCAACTCCTAATATTGTACTGTATGTGAAGCTAAGCCAAGCAAAACAGATGTTTCTTCAGCAATAACAAAGCTGCAGGACAGACCAAGTCATTCTGGGGTTGCTGAAGCCTGGGGGAGAGGATGGCTATAGTAGTTAATTATATTCAGGGCTTTTTTTGTCATAGAACGCCCAGAACAGAGTTCCGGCATCTTTTTGGGATGTAGGGTAGGCAAGGCGGGTGGTATAACGTGTGTGAGTTCCGGCACCTCTTTTTTTTTTTAAAAAAAAGCACTGATTATATTCATAGGTTGTTCTCAGTGATATGGAAAGCAGAACTGACATTTGCTACTATCCCATGTTTAAAAAGAGTGACACTAAGACAGCATGAAAACTATTGCAGAATTAGCCCGTCTGTACAACAGTTAGAAATGTCCCTGCGCAGGTTATCAAGCACATATAGAGCCAGTGACAGAATTCTCCATCCAGGAAGACCAATGTGGCTTTAGACTGGGTCATAGTGATGTGAATCAGATTTTCACTATAAGGCAAGTAATTGAGTGTCATGATTAAGGAAAGCAAATTATTGCTGTCTTGATGGATGTCAGGAGTGCCTCTGACAGTGTTCACCAGAGATCAATATAGAAAGTTCTTTGTGATCAGCAACCCTAACCCAACAAAATCATCCAAGTTCATTGTTGCTTTTTATGATAGGGTTAAAGTACATGATGACAAAATCACTCCCTTCACAGCCAAAGCACAACTGAGAAAAGAGTTTATGTCATGAATCTTATTGTTCAGCATGCTAATAGATTGAATAATGGAGAAAAGTTGGGGAGTGTAAGGATTCGATGTTGTGTGAAGAAGTTCACAATTGCAACATAGGTTGATGACACAGTTTTCAGAAAGAAATCAGAACTAAAAGCAAAACAGGAAATTGGATTATGGATAAATGTAGAAGAGTTCAAGGCCATGTCGACTGATGGTACGTGAATTAAACTTGTCTTTAGTGGTGAGCTAGCTGAGCAGATTGATGAGTTCAAGTTCTTAGGTTCTTTGATTTCTGCATCAATAGTTGTGACATCTACTAATAGTGATTCAAGAGGTAGTAGTACTCGAGCAGTTTTCAACAGTATATGGTGGTGCCTCTGGAAGAAGAAAAACATTAGCCTGAAAATGAAGATTTGAATATTTAATATAGCCATCGTGCCAGTCTTTCTCTAAGCAGTGGAAACATGGATATTGTTCAGGGGCTTGTGGGAGCTGGAGGTGTTTCAGATATACACTAATAAGTTGACAAGTACAAATTCACACACATTTCTCTTCCTTCTTCAGAAATAATGGAAAGCAAAAAACAAGACTGCATGGTAATACATGGGGAAGAAAAAGAGAAAAACCCAGTTTAGGCATTCATAAAGAGTTGATTTACCAAGTAAACAGCTTCTGCAAGTTAACAGTTAACCTTCAGAGGCATCCAGGCTCTGCATCTGTAGCACTCTTATTCATTCTTTTATTTTCAGCCATTTCTGTTCTTATCAGCAAATGTAAAATGAGGGCCTTATCCCCCAATAGGTAATTATTTAGAGGGGGGGGGGAAATCCCGTAAGGTATACACAATATGCTCAATTATTTAACTTGATTTCTATGTTAAATTAACCAATTTCTAAGTCTTTTTATCTGCTGAAAGGGAGCTGCAGCTCAAGAACAAGTGCTTGTACCTGATTTTTGTTCTGATTTTAAGTACCGTATCTCAGCAGCGTATAATAAAAAGTAGAAACATAATAATTCATTTTTTTCTACGGTCACATTCCAGAATAGGAATAAACAAACATACATATATACTGTACATACACACACACACAATGACCTGGATGATTGAAAATCTCCATAATTAAATAGCAAGGAAAACAAACAGGAAGAAAACAAGTAGTATTAATCATTTACAACTATATTCAGCAGTTAAAATCCTCTTCTTTTTAAGAGGTGTGTTTTAAGAGATTTCTTTCAAAAAAACTAGGTTACTGAAGTAGCATATTCCATTCCTATAAGTGTAATGACAGATGGCTAATGTCACACAGCCAGATAAGTTCATGGCAATTTTAAGATTTTATCAGTGTGAAAGCTCAAATAGATGCATTCATTATGTGAAAATACCTCATTAAAATCTAAATAGGCTTGTAATCTGTTTAGATTTTTATCATTATTATTTTGTGCCTTCAAGGCAGTCTTCATTCATGCAACTGGGACAGGTCCAGGCAGTTTTCTTGACAATTTTTTTCAGAAGTAGTTTGTCATCTTCCTAGAGCTGATGAGAAGTGACTTGCCCTGTCACCCAGCTGGTTTTCATGCCTAAAGCAAGACTAGAATCCATGATCTGCTAGTTTCTAGAGTCTAGTCTAGACCACTGGCTTTAATCAGTACACTGACTCTCTAGTTAAGATTTTAGCAGTAATAAAATATTTTCACACTAGAGATTGCAGAGTTGCCATGGAAATGATTAATTTCGAGGCAAATATATCACTGTTCCTACATGAAATAGTGGGAAAAAGTGAGCTGTTATACAGATTCACAATCAAGTGTAAAAAAGATTTAGAAAGAATTCAAACTACATTTAGTCCTCGACCTATGACCAAATTGGGACCAGAATTTCCATTGCAGGGCAGTTGTTAAATTTTGTGTCCAATTTTATATATATATTTTGCCACAATTATTAAACAAATCACTGCAGCTGTTAAGTGAATCACAGTCATTAAGCAAATCTGGTTTCCCCCATTGACTTTGATTGTTGAAAGCTGTTTGGGAAGTTCGCATATGGTGATCACATGACCCCTTCATAAAAACTTGCCTGTTTGCCAAACACCCAAATTTTGATCACGATTATGGGGATGCTGCAACTGTCATAAGTGTGAGATCTAGTCATAAATCACTTTTTTCAGTGCAATAGTGGCAAATAGTATGCAAATATCTTAAATGTTTCATTATCAATACTTTTTAATAAGAAAAGTTAATAGGTTCAAAGAAAGACAAGGCTTTGTCTATAATGTCTTTAATAGACATCACTGGTTGAAAATATTATTTTGGGGAGATATTGCACAAAATTCTTTACTGCTGCTTGTTACACATCAGCATCAGATGCATCCAAACTCATGCTATTGTCTCTTTACAAAAATGCTGAACATTATTTCTCTGATGTCTGTTACTACCGTGGATCTGAGGTATAGAGTTAAAAATCATGCTTTGCATTATGGCTTACACTAAAAATAAATAAACATTTCTGAAAGTGAGAACTAGAAGAAACTAAAGATTACAAGGAAAGAACAGCATTTAAATTTGATTAATATGAATGAAGTGAAATATTTTAATGTTCAGCATACTGAACAATATTTTTGAACAATGGACCCAGAATTTAATTTTAAGAGTGTGTTTCTATTGATAGACCTTGTTTAAAAAAGTGTTCTGGAATTACAAGTTTTATCAGACAAGATTAAAACTGATCTAAAAGTAGATTTAAAAATTACAGACTACAAGAATGTCATTGAAAAAAATATTATTACTGTATATATGAAAGAAACTGACTAATGTCTTAATAATTGAAACAGATACATAAATACCAAACTAAGACAGTGACCTGGATAATCTTCCTATATTGGATTTATAAGAGATTTGTTAAAGCTTTGAAGGATTTTGTGAGAAAGGACAAAGAAAGTTTAGTTTGCATTAGTTTTTTGTTGTAGTAATTTTTTAATAAAATTACTATAAAAAATAAAAAGTGAAACCCCGTAGTTGTTATTGCAACTCTCATTTGGAATTCAAGGCATCTACAGTATAGCTAGCTGTGCAAAAACTCCATCTGTCCCACAGGCTCTTGACCTGTCTTTCAGAAAAATATCCCCATTTTAGGCCATTATATCACCTATTCTTCCCCTTATACAGCTGTCAGGTGCACAGAGGGCCTATTTATTGATGATCCTTGAAAAGCAGCATCTTCAAAGGCAGATGGGCCCAGTTCATATATAAAACAAAGAAACACTCTTACTGACAAAAAACCCTCCCTACTTAACAGAGGCAGACTACTGAATTAGGGGTTCCCAGCAGGAGTTGCGTAATGAGATCAGCATCCTGAAATTCAGGAATGACTTTCATCTTCTGGTTTGGAATTTCAGGAGTGAATGAAGACAAGGGGCAACTCATTTGTGATAGGTGAAAGGAAAATAATTCTTCTGAACTGTACAGCTCCCTGTCTGGCATATTTCCTTTGAGAATTGTTTTAAAAAGAAATAAATGAAGCAGAACCAAAGTAGAACGTAGGATGCAAACATGGTTGAGGAAACAATATCTTATTAAAGAAGGTGATGCAACAGGATGTTGATTGCTAGGTACTGAATGGAACATATCTATATTTGCCACAAACTCTGAGCTATTTCATACACTCCAGATTTATGAAATTCTGAAATCCAGACGACTCCTATACCAACATCAAAACTAACCCAGCTACCTCAGGAAGTGAGAACAATGGGCAATGACATAGAATCAGTGAAGTCTCAGTTCTGTCTCGGGTACCCATCTTCCTGAGCATCCATTCAGAACTAAGAGATATCAGTTGACTAAAGATTTTACAGCTGGGTCATGATTATTGTGAGTTCAAATAATGCAATATTTGATTTAGTTTAGATTAGCAAAAATTCTGTTGACACAACTCTGCCACCAATCCATGTGGCCCTCAGCCTTCAAAGAAAACTATTTTTAAAAGATAGAATATTCCACCAAGCTGAAGGTAAGCTATCTGTATCTGATGAAAAATTGCATACTAAAATACTCTGAAGGCTCCGAATATAAAACAAATATGGAGAATCATCAATTAATCAGCTTAATTTTTTTTAAAAAAAATCTTTTAGGTTCAGGCACTAGGTAAGGCCGTAGAATTCTATTGAACTTCAAACTTGTTGACGTTTTATCTTGTAATATCCACAATTATAGTTTCAGTCAGATTTACTACATCCAACCTGCTGCAGATAATTCAGTTTCTACTGAAATCTACTGTTTAATCACCTATCAGTAAATTGTTTATTAACAGGAAGTCTCTTCCAAGTAGCATGAAATGAACCGGAATGTGAGTCCTTACTTTGATGTTGGATGATACTGAAAATCTGCCAAAGCAGTTTATAGAACAATAAAAGAATCAAAAACCCTCCTCCCTGGTTTGCAATATAAAATTTCTGGCAAAAAGGTAAAGGCTACAGTTCTTAAAGAGTTCTTATAAGAAGCTATTGGTTTTGAAATTGTTCTGAGAGAACACTAGAAAGAACAAGAGCACGCCGAATTGATGGAACTGATGTGCTTCTGTTCTCTTTCTTACAGGCTAATAGTATGTGTTGCAGTTACATACTCTTTGCTGACAAATGAGGCCAGAGGACATAAAGGCCATTCATGTCATGGACTAGAGCGCATTCATTGATTTCAAGTTTAAATCCCAGAGTCTTATTATTCACCAATAACAGCATTCCTTTCAGAAACTGAAGCAGTATGTGTGACTTTATGTACTACTGACATGAAGTCAGAGTATATTAATCATGCACTCTATGCAATTCTAACCCAAGAAAGCTGTTCATTGTAAATAAAGTGTCATCATAAATGGATCCACTTATGTGATTAGGAATTGTCACTGCCACCTCTTCAGATGGCTGAGATTTAAGGACTCTTGCGATGGCTACTTTCTGCAAGATGTTTAATTCAAAACATATTGTAGAAACTGTAAGAGGGGTGACTGTCTATGGTGACCTTAACACTTTCAAGAAAAGTTATCTTCAGATTAGATGGGTGGCATATAAATTTTATAACTAATGAATAATCTGCCCTTTGCCTTCTTCTACACAGATAAATGGTAGTGTTTTCAAAAGACAGTTGTGAATTAATCTCATTTTGCCAATTTCACCCATTTTTTTGTGAATCTACCTTCCTAAGTCTACTATTTTAGTTGTTTTATCCTAGTGGTGCTTGTGTAAATGTGTGTCCTCTCTTAAGCACTTTAAAAGTAGCTGTAATCAAAGTAACTTAGAAAATAGGAGAAAAACTGTGGCTGTTTGCCAGAATATGTTTGCCAAAATATGTTTGCCAGAAAGAGATATAGAGATTATTCCTAATTCAGAGGACTTTTTTTTAACAACTTGGAAAAGACAAAATTAATGAGGCCAGATGAAGAGAAAGGAGAGTGAAATTGTGTTATGCAAGCTGGGGCAAAGTGATGTAATTCTTTTTGCACAATCTATGTTGAATTGCTTAGAGAATCTTAAAGAGGCCCTGCAAGGACCCAGGTTTTTTGAAGCCCTAGCTAGAATGTCCTCTAGGCTAACCCTGGACAAAGTTATGCCCTCTAGATAGGACCAACAGCAACAGAAGGATGAGGCAGCGTTGATGAATAATATAGTAACTCCATGTGGTTGGGAGATTCTGTGCAGCCCCAGCTTTGTTAACTTGTCTCAAACAATGCCTAAAACACTTGGTTAAAATACAAATTTAGTTCTTCACAACCTTATCAGATGATATTGTGGATGTAAACTCCCATTAGAAATGTGATTAATAATTATGTCAGAAGTTATCTCTTATTAAAAATGTTCTTTCAGAGAATAATAAGTTCATGTTATTAAAATCTTTATTCACATAATACTTGCCTATGCATAGCCTGATCCTTGGGAAATGCAAAACTGAGACTTGTTTTCTTTTCCCAACAGCTTCTACTCATAACCACTCCAAAAGGCAAGTCTTTAGCAGCTTCCAGGTGAACATTTTGTTTCAGCTGCCACATGAATAAGTTACTTCTTAATAAATTATTTTCTTTTCTTTTTTTAGCAACAGTTCCAGTTCTTCAAATGCAATAGACTACTTGTCTGTTCAAGCACAGGATGTCTCTTCCACTTTCTTATCCTTAAAATAGCATATAAAGGAAACATGAAGTTATTTGGAAAGTCTCAATCAACCAGCAAGATGTTTTCTTCCCCAACAGCATCTGCCAGGTACAGATTCAATGTGATTGCACACTTACCATGCATCTACAAAAAACTCATCTTAGCCGCTGACATGATTGGCTAGTATTTGATAAAAAGTCTGAAGCTGGTGACCCTCATAATGGCAATTATTAACCATTATCAAGTTGCTCTAATTTGAGACATTTAGCTGAACCAACCTGACAAAAATCAACTTATTTTGGAAGTTCTTTTTGTTAAAGGAGGCATAACATTATAAATAGGATTTGGCATTAAGCCAACCAATAGTTTAGGCAACCATTTTAAGATTATTACTGGCATAGGCTGAAACGTGAGCTGTAGGGTAAGGAAAGTTACTGAAACAGATGCAGACACATCCTTTTTGCATCTATGGGTGTTGGGGTCTGTTTCCAAAAGAGGAAGCATGTCCAAATTAATTTTAAAAATTATTAGAACTAACTGATAAACATCTGGACCCTGTATTTAAATTTCTGTTAACTGACATCCAGGATACAGCTATCGGAAACATTATCTAACATGGAAAATCTTTGAGGTTTTCAATACAGTTGGTGAATAATAGTTCAGGGAATTAAACCTTGGAGTTAACATACAGAATTGTTTCCTACACATTTCCCTCCAATATCTTTGGCAGGACTATCAGGTGCATGAATTAAAACCAAGATACATACATTTTCTGACACTAGAAACACAAATTACAATTCCTGATAATGGTCACAAAGCCATGGAATCACAGCTTGGATCAAAAAAAGAAAAAAGAAGATATGCATCTAAAAACATCTTTAGCTCAGCTCAGACCTTGGAAATGAGACTATCCTGAATGCCTGACAACGTAGCATCTGCAACTGCCTGATAAAACATTTTTCCCTTCCGCAGGCATTCATCACGTCTTCTTAGATTTTCAGTTTAGATCAGAAGTTAGCAACAAATCCTGTTTGTTTTTTGAAATCTACAGCACTGACAGGACATAAAATACTGGCTCAAGCCCCACTTTTTAAGAGAAATATTAGGTTCAAGGCAGCAAGAACCCTTACATTTGAGAACATAATGATTTGCACAAAAATCTCTGGTTAGGACTTTGCAGCATTGTGCAGGCCTGAGTAATTTCAGCCTTGTACATGGACAACAGATTTCAAAAGTAATCTAGAACAGTCTTTCTCCTTCAGCAGTTTTGGATTTAACAGAACACCAAACACAATTATACATTCCCTTACGAAGTCCTTTAGAAAATTTCTGCAAAAGATGCATGGATGTATACCTATCAGGAGAGACAGTAAATCTTTTCAATATCAAATTTGCCCTACCCCTCCATCACTTTTCTTTTTTTTTTTTAACATGGCCAGTATGGATGCCTAGATAGCTTATTCTTTAAAACCCTGAATTAGACTAAAATACTAAGATTATACTTGGAGTCAATTAGGAGAATAAGATCTTTTCTGGAACAAGCCCGTATTAGTGTCCCAATACCCATCTCTTCACAGGGAATCCCAGGAGGGCTCTCAGTGCAACATCCACTGCCAGCAATGGAATCCAGAAACAAAAAAAAGATACAGGGCTACCCGAGGGGAACTTTCTTGTCTTCAACAGAGCTTTCAAACTACAAGTGTTTCTTCTTCTGATGCAGAAATTCTGTTATTTAATTCCAGTTTATCCTGCCCATAGCCATGCAGAACCAGTTGTGCTGTTTTCTATTATTACTTTAAAAAATAAACCCTATCAGTTTCTGTTAAAGCTACAAATGGGAAAGTGTCATTCTATCTTCCACCAATACAATGTCTGGCCCAAATTGATCTGTACATTGCTTTATGGTAGCCAAGATGTTCAGAAGCCGTTGGTCCAGGGTGTCCATATGGGGGGCAGACAACACAGGTGCAATAGGGTCATGAACCATAGCAGTTTTTAAGGCAGACTTCAGGACTCCATTCTTCAAATAGTTCAACCTGTTCCATGTGGAGACTCTGATACTGCAAAAGAAAAACCTGGAGTTTATACCGAAAGTTCAAACCTTCAGAAGTCTTCCCAAAGTATTTTCAATACTTTAAGCTTTTTAAATAATAGAATGTTATTTCTTAATCATATTATATAAACATTACTTCATTGAAATCTACATTGAAATAAACACAGTACATCATAATTTACAATATTACAATTAAAAAAGTCTTCCCCAAAAAAACTTGTCACAGGATTTACTTATTCAGAGCTATGAACTACAGTGACATTGCTGAAACAGTTTTTAAATTAAAATTCATAAGCCTATATTTAATCAAAAGTAACATCTTCACATTACTCCCAGGGAAGTGGGAATAGATGATAACCAAAGTGCTAAGTTGCATACAAAACCAATTAGCTGCCCTGGGTATGGATGATAAACCTAGTATTTGGTAAAGCTGTTGCAAAATTATGAATATAAAGAATGATACTGTGGATGTATGACACAACTAACATAATTTTTATTTTTTCCACAAAGGAAACCTCTGTCATCGTCAGAGGTTGTTCCTCTATCCTTGAAATAATGTTTCTTTTCATCGACCCCAGAACTTAGTGATTGTTACATGCATTATGTGAAAGGTAACTACAAGCTAGCAAAATCCTATACCTGAAAATGTAGACACTCCCTCAAGAAAAAAAGCTGCAAAGTTAGAAGGAATGTCTTTCTCCAGCATTAATTTTTAATGCTAACCCTCTCCTTTCTTTAAACAGCTAGTTGTTCCAAAGGTTTAGAGAATTACACCTTAACACGTAGGCTCTCATTTAGATTGTAAAAACACTTTTAGTGTACTTTTGAGTTCTTATGTTTGATGATTAGTCCAAGGCAACTAACTACCAAACATAAGAACTCAAAAGTACATTAAATAATATCAATATTGCTTTTAAGATAATATTCAAATAAGTCAATAACTTTTTATTCTTTACTCACATGCAGCACTGATAAAGAGGTGCAAGAATGCTTCTCTCATCCAGGGAAGGATTTCCAAAACTGAAAAACAGATACAAAATGAAATAAAAATAATCATTCCCTCTGGAAAAGTCTGTACAACATCTATCAGCAAAATGGATACCCATGCAACTTTATCAAAAAGTGCCAGAAGTGGAAGAAAATTAGCAGTGTGCATCCATGAACACCAAGTCAGAAGACATGAGGAAAACTGCTCAATCTCACAACACAGAGACAAAGTTTCAACTGAGAAATTGTAAGCTTCCTAGATCAATCTGAAGCCAAAAACACTAGGGAATTCCTGGAAGATTGGCATTCAGACAAAACAAAAGAAATAAACCATATTTACACACCATTCAAGAGACAATAAAAAAGCTAAGAATAAAAAAGACCAGAACACATCCTTGTCAAAACTGCCAACACCCAGATAAGCAAGGATTAATACCAGGCAAACAATCAAGCAGAAAATAATACCCCAATTAAGGAACTACCAAAGAGAAAACCAAAACTGGCAGAGCAAGCTACAGCATGTAAACACTTACTCTGGTGCTGTTACCTAATTGTGTACCTAATTGCAAGCGAACAACCAAGCTCAGAGAGCATCAAGGACTCCAAAGTCATTCTTTCCCATAAATACAATTTGAAATGGGTAAGGAATTCCTGATATTTCAGTTAGCTTTCAAACCAGGTCAAACTTTTGGAGAACCTTAACACTGTAGTAATTATGATAAACCAACTGTAATCTGGTGGCAATTATTTTACTGAAGGAATTTGCATGTAAGATTAATACTTTTCCTACCTTTTGGCATTGTCAAGTAGAATAAGCATGCTGGCCCCTTCATCATCCTGAAAACTTTCATAATGATGTCGGTCAGCATTCCCAATCAGATAGTCAAAGATGGCTGTATCAATGATGTCAAGAAGCCGTGGACCTGAATCATAAGGGGAGGTCTTCTTTACAGCATCACAGTAACTCTCATCGTATTCCCATCTGAAAGCAGAGACAGAAACTCAACCAAGCCCTGTTGATCTTTTAGGATTTATAGTACAATTATGCAACTTCAAAGGGTTGAAAGAGAAGATTGCATAATTGGGGAAAAAGAACTGCTGTTAAATTTAAAATAAAATTCTCTCAAAATCTGCTTGGTAAGAGACCATAGCAAAAGATGGCAAAATTGTCTCTGCTACTTCATTTTCAACTTCATTTTCTCTTTTAACATAAAGGTTTCTTCATTTAGTCTGGCTTCTTAATTCAGTCATAAATGATGATTGGCAACATGGATATTCAGGAAAATAATGCAAAATAAGAAAGAATGATAAAATTGGAAGACCGGTTTTTGATATAAGCAGACTTGAACTGATCCAGACAATACACAGATAGGAATTTCATTAACTACTGCATGTCACAGTTTATTTAACTCATGGACTAATGCAGAAGGAAAATGACACAAACTTGAAACAAACTGATTCATCCTTTCCTAACACAGAATAGTATGTTGTACTTTTATAAAGGTAGCTAAGTCTACTGGCAGAAAGTAGAACTACTGCTGTTGAAAACTCTTTTTGAAAATGGATTTAGGGATTTTCAAGCAGATAAAATACATCTCAAAATCCAGGTCCTATGCTATATAGCCAGACAGTCTTATACAAGGCCATCCTAATAAATGTAAAAAAATGATTTTGCTTTAGAAAAGGCAAAGATTAATGAAAAAAAGAACAAAAAAAGGGGGGGAATCTTCATTTCTCATTCATCTTTGAAATCTTTTGCCTCCTATCATGTGTCCTCAAAAATAAGGCCAGTCTTATATTATTTTGTCTCCAAAGACCACTAGGTCTTATTTTTGGGGAATGTCTTACCCACTTATCTGAGGGCCGTCGCAGCCAGGCCTCCCACGCCCTGACACCTGTCGCGCCTCTGCCTGACTTCTGCTGCCGCGAGCAGCCGCCAGCAACCAGAAATGGGCCAGTGGCCACGCAGGCTCCTGCTAGATGGGGCTGCTGTTGCTGCCACGAGGTGAGGCAAGGCAGGTATCAAGGCATGGGGACCCTGAGGTAAGTGGGTGCGGGGCACGTGAGGCAGCTCCACCCCCACCCCAGCTTTTTATGCATGTGCCTCGCCTCACCTCGTACAACCAGACATTGGCACGGAGTGGGCGGGGTCTTAAGTAGGGCTTATTTTTGGGGTAGGGCTTATATTAGGTGCACACGTAAAAATCAAGCTAGAGCTTATTTTCGGGATAAGTCTTATTTTCGAGGAAGCACGGTAGCTTCTCAGTGTAACTTCGTTCTTTCCCAGAAAAGGAACTGATTTTTAACAATCAGGAACAACATATATGATCAGTTCAGCAACTAAAGGCCGATACCTCCTTGTGCCTCTACAATTGTAGTCCATTCTCTGGACTGACCAACTAAAACAGCAAGGAGGTCACTGCTGTGAACTCCTTACCTGGCTAACTTGCCCTCCCGGTACGTCCTGCCCCATGGATGCCGATGTTTCTGAAGAGGCCAGGCATCTGGCAGCCAAAGAGTGAGTGATCCTTCCATGGAATCTCTTTCAGCACAGGCTGGTTCTGTTTCCCGGCAGTAGTAGCACTTCCCATAGAAACAAGTATTATTACCTGGAAAGCAAACAAAAATTAGAAAAAAGCAGCTAACTTAGATCTAAATTAAACTGTGATACTAATTATTTAGCACTTCTAATTTCTAAGAACTTGGACTAGTTAAGAAGCTTTCTGGGAAAGAAACCATCAGTTCTAAAAAGGTTGATTTAATGGTCATTATCTGTTGCTGCTGCAGCTCACTTCTCTGAGAGTAAGGCTTAATCAATTTAGGGGGTTGTTTATTTCTAAACAGAGTTGGATTGTAAAGTAATTTTATCTTGCACAGTCCCCACCTCCCAGTTCTTCCACTAGTTTGGAAACAGGCTTCAAGTAAACAAGTAAACACCTTACTATACTGATAAATAAAAACCTGGGCAAATTCAACAGCAGATATTTAATGGAAATATACATATTTCAGAGAAATTATCTGCTGTGGCCTTTGGCCAGATTCCAAAAAATGGCCTATTTTCATATTCAAAACCAGCAATCTCAAAATTTAAACAAAGTCTTCTCTTACTGTTGAAATAATTGAGTAAAGGCAAATCTCAAGTAGTCTTCAATTTATGACAAAAGAGACTGGAAAAATTGTCATTAAATGAGGCATCATGTGACTGCACACTATTTTATAACCTATTTTGCTGTAGTCATTAAACAAATCACTGTGGTCATTAAGCGAGACATGACTACAACCTGCAACTTCCCCTGCCAGTTTCCCCATGAACTTTGCTTGTTGGAAGCTGGCTGGGTGGGAAGGTCACAAACGGCAATCACTTGACCCCCGGCATGCTGCAAACGCCAAAATGTGAGCCAGTTTCCAAGCACCTGACTTATTTAAATGAGGCATCACATGACAAGAAGAACCCTACAATGCTCCTATGTGCAAGGACCATTGCACTTGGTTGTATGTCACTTTTTCGGCTGCTAAACAAATGGGCATAAGTCAAGGACTACTTGTACAATATACTCTGCTACAAATATCAGAGAAATTATTAACATGTCAAATACCAGACCTCAATGGAAGTTTTATTCAGGAATCAAAGTAATCCGTGTGCCGACTTACTTCTGATTTTCCAGGTTTGACATGAGACACATTGTCCTTGCTAGGGCTAAGAGTGTTCTGCCAAAACTGATGTTAGTCTCAAACTAGAATTTATAATCTAAATGTTTGAATTGTATATCATTACTAGCTCTAATATTGGTACAGATCTGCATTAATACTGAAAAAAGAAGATAATTTGTATATCTGACAGAGAGAGCTGTTAAGAGCATGATCTCTAGCAAGCATTCTTCAAATTGTATTTTCCCCAAGGATCCAGGAATGTTATAAGAGACTGAACCTGCAGAATTTGTTTGTATTTTTGACCTACCTAAAGTCATGAAAGTACTAAGCAACTGTTCTGTGGCAACAGGTTTGATCTCTGTCCGGAGGTTGACAAACCTACCAATCACGAGTGGGGCCCGTCGGAAACCTAAGATTCTGTTTGAACAAGAAAGAATAAAATGAAACAAGATATGAATTCATGCAACACAATAGACAGTATAGGCTGGACCTAGCTATGAAATCTGTAGGAATCGCTCAAAGGTTTAAGGTTCCTGAGTTCTTAAAAGTAATTTTAAATATAACTTCTTAGTTATTAATATCTATGTTTTATTTTATTTTGAACTGCAACTGATAATATTTATTTCTCTCTTTTGGATTCTATAAATTTACTGAATTAGAAATTGAAGTTAATACAAACTTTTTGCTTATTTGGACCGTGATCCTATTCATGTGCCAGACTTCTGGGTATACTTGGCTCATAAAAAAGGAAAGCCCTTGAAAAAAGATCTGCTAGAAGTACAATTTTTTAGGCTTAGATTGTGTTTAGGCTGAATGTTTATTAATTGTTGTAAATCATCAAAGTGGTGGCAGCTCACCTGCTTCTTAAATATATGGAAAATGTCTTGCAGCAACATTGAAGGACCAATAGTTCTTGAACTGAAGCACCAGAGATTTTCCCAACACTGACCAGAATAAAGATTGCACTTGATTTAAGTTTAAATTTAAATTCATTGGTGAAGAATATGTCAGACTGCTAATCTGTGCCCTTTACTGAGAACTTGTACTGAAAGATCTACAGAGATTATTTTTGTGGAGCACAAGTTAAGAATTTAGGCACTGACTCTTAAGGGATTATCCTGAAATAAACTTGCTGAACACTGTCCCACTAAAGATGCTCTCACTACTGAGATGGCCCTGAACTCAAAGGAGTGGGCCGTCTCCCATGGAATTCACTCTCTTGACATTACATTCTACCCCCTATTCCAGCAGAGAAATCACCTTTTCTTTTTAACTTTAAATTGGTTTATAATTTATATTCACTGATTTTATCAGATTTTATAGAAAGGTGAAGTATAAACTGAATGACTAAACAATCTATATTGTGTCAAAGTATCAAAATTTTACCTGTCTAGATGGAAGGCTGCCACCTCTGCATTATGTCTGTCATAGCCAGCATATGGCTCTCCTTCTATTACATAGTCTCTGGGATATCTAAAAATTATGAAAAAAATAAGTGATTAAATGACTAATAGATTTTATTTCAGATTAAAGAAAAATCTTCAGTAAACAACCACTCTTCTTCATCTCAGGATAATAATGAGAAAATAACTCTGAAGAACTTTTCTCAGTGCCAAGTCTTCTAGCAATTAATTGTATTGCCCCATATAAAAGGAAATATCTCACAAATACTTCCATCCCAAAGACACAGGCCTGTTTCTTACTTAGAAGTAATGGTAGGGTCTTTCAGCAAACATCTACCCATTGTCTTGATCTTAGCTGCATACTTCTTCTATTAGGGAACAATGATCAGGCACGTCTGTTTGGGAAAACTTAATGCAAATTACGTGCTAAGGCATGCTTTAATTTGTTACTGCATTGTGTGTATCTGCAATTCTTGTTTTATGACATGATGCAAAGTATGAATGCAAACTTTATGACTTATGCACAACTACAACTTTGTTCAAATTCAGCCATTAAGCTGTTATCAGCCATTAAGCAGACAAGAGTACATATGATATTATCTGTCACTGAAGAAGCATTTTACCTCTTAGGTTTGAAGACTACTTTCTGTCCACCTTCCAGCACAAGCAGTGCTTTCAACTGGGTACCCTTATAGCCCACATCTGCTTTGATGATTTTCTTGGTAGCCATAGCATGCATCACTGCGCCCAGTTCTGGTGTTTCCTCTGGATACACTTCACGTGGCACCACCCACTGGGCTGCAATCTCCCAAGGAGATTGCAGTGTGTGATCAAGTCGTGGGTCTAATTCGATCCGTAGGCTCGTCATCATGCGATGGAAGGCGCGCTGGTCCTCACGATTGGCTGCTGATGTGTCCAAGTTGTCTATGAGGAAAACCTTTGTGAAAATAAAGATGACGAGTAGAATTGCCAGAAGTACCACACGCTGCTTCAACTTCATGATGATTAGTAGTCCTTTTCTGCTGACTTATCAAAGGCTACAGGAAATCTCTCACAAAACAAGATGATAAGCACAGCAGTTCCTGATTAATTTTATTCATTATCTTCAATCCAAACGATCCACTGTTGCAACTACATCTTCTGGTGCTCCTGTAATTAAAATCACAATTGAATTTTATACTATTAGCAAATTCAGCAGGTTTCTCTTGAACAGAAGTTGCTGATTTGTAATGTTACAATTTACTGTCTATTTCAATGGGATTACCCATAACATACTCTGGCTCTAAGACAGATACTTTTCAAATCAGGACTTACTTAAAAATAGCCTCCACAGCAACATTTTCAGAAAACTAGAGTTATTAGAGTCACTTTGTATGTCTACCACTAAATATATAGAACTGATTGACTTTAATCCAACTTTTATAAAGATACCATTTCTTTCCACTTTTCTCATCTTTTACAGCTTCAACTGATCTTTGATATTTACTTTGAAGTAGAACTATTAGAAATATACATGTTCCACCCCACTCCCATCCCAAATTAATACACATATAGCCATAGTTGTGAAAACCTTTATTTTATTTCTTATTTAGATTTATATTATCCACATGCTAATGTCAAATGAAGAACATACAGTTCATCTGAATGTACAGGTGCATGAAAAATATGGCTGATGGATAAATGTATCAAGTGTTAGGCTATGAACCTCCATGATCAATAATAGTCTAGAACAGGGGTAGTCAACCTTGGCTCTTTTATGACTCGTGGACTTCAACTCCAAGAATTCCTGAGCCAGCTGTGCTGGCTCAGGAATTCTGGGAATTGAAGTCCACGAGTCATAAAAGAGCCAAGGTTGACTACCCCTGGTCTAGAAGCAACAAAAACCCTATAGAATTTGCCCTTTAAACTATAACATTCTATGACAAGTTTAATGAAAATCACCTAGTCACAATCTTGTTGGTGACTAAGTTCCTAAAAGAAAGGGAACGAATTGTCTATGTTTTTTCTTTCCAAGATTTAATATAAAACCAACAGATCTTTAAATTCTGCCAACTCCATATAACAGAATGTCTGTCATTCAACTGTTAAAGTAAAGCAATTATTTTCTAGGAACATAGGAAGGCTATTATTTTGTTTCCAACATAAGCAGAGAGCTGTATAAAGCATATCTAAAACACCAGTCTTGTGCATTACCATGATGTGGATCAAACCCCTTATTTTAGAGATATTCATAGCAGTATAAAACACTTGAATTAACTACTACATTAAGATAGATTGGAATGGATTATTTGTACTTTTTGAAGGTTCAAATACCTCAGCATGAGTTTTTCATGCTCCAAAGTTAGCACTGTCAGGCTCTAATTCTAATTACAAATAGAATTTGTAATTTTTTTTCTATAGAAACAAATCATGATTACTCAAACCAAGATTTAATGCAATCTTTTTTAAGAAGTGTGATAATCATATACCAGATAGTTTGTGCAAGAGTATTGTTTATTTCTATTATCTGGAACTGCTCCATTCACATTTGTGTTTTACATTTCAACATTTTCAAATCTGTTTTGATTCATAGTAAATTAATTTATACATATTCTCATCTTTCTATCATCCCTATATCCTTCATTCTCCCCATAGTCATTACAATTTTAAATTGTATGTCCCATATAGCATCTTTTATTTATTGAATTCCATTTGTACCTTCTCTAATAAGCTAAGAACAGTTTTTAATGGCTCTCAGGCAATTTTTAGAAATAGAACTGATCAGATATTCTGTAAAATACCATATACATTAAAAACACTGCATTTATAATTAGATTTTATACATAATAGTTGAAGACAAATGGTAAATAAACACTCCCTGCAGCAACAGTAAAGTACAGCAACAGGAAATGATCAAAATCACATTTAAACTTGCAAAATAGTTATAAGAGTATTTGTTTTAATGGAGTAACATACTATTCTCCATGAGCTTCTGAGGATATTTTATAATGCATTTCAACTAGAATTCTAATTTAACAGTATTTCTCCCACTAGAGTCTCATCACAGTAAAGCATGATTAATTCTGCACACCTTATTAGATATTTTATAACTTGCCAGAATTATAATGCAAGAGATGTGCATTTCACAGCTAAAGGAGCAATGTAACCAGATCTTTCCCAGACTGGAGAAAAAAAATGTGCTAGTACTGTACAAACTCTTCTTCTTCCAATATTTTATACATTGAACAAAAACTGTATCCCAAGTCAATGGAATATAATGCACAATTTTAAAAACTGTATAGCATTCACCTCAGTTTGCAAGGTTATTTAATTTCCTGACAAATTATTGGCAGGTAAATGCTGGCAAATTCTAATAACACTAAGTTTTGTGACCTGAAATCTACATATAAATTCCAAAAACAAAATCCCTGTTCCTTCCAATCCAAAGAAAAACTTTCAGTTTATAAGAATGTACTGAAAATTACAAGCAAAATAGTCTGCTGTTGTAGTAATGGGTAGACTAATACAGTAGAACTAATGTAATTAAAATGGTCTTGGGAAGAAGAGAAATGAGAAAAAAACCCTCTGAAACATGCTGTGTCTGACAGACTGTGAAGACCACAGAAGTGGAAAATGACAGACAGATGGTATCTATCTTATATGCTTGCTAAATCCTCCCTTGGATGTTAATGGCTTAAGACATGCATTTATTCTCACACCATTGTGTTCATCTTAAAGTACAGCAACACAATAATGTGTTTTACATTCAGTTTTCCCAAGATGTTAAGAACTGCTGCTGAAATCTTTTAATGCTGATTATCACTTAACCATCAACCATAACTGTCGTATTCTCTAATGTAACTATTATGAATAAAGCAGGAATGGGTCTAGGTATGTGTCTGGATGTGTATATATATATACGTCTGTGTTCGTGTATATATACTATACAGTGGAAAAACTGTATAAGATTTATTTCTGACTAGCTGTACCCAGCCACGCGTTGCTGTGGCTCAGTCTGGTAAAAGTGTGTGTTGCTTTTACGTCCAACAGATGGCGCTGTTTTTTTAAAAAAAGCATGTTTTTACCTGTCACAGGTGTGACATCTATATAATATAGGTATATAAAAACACGCACGTATTCGAATGCAACATTGTCAAAATTTCAAAGCAATCGGTGAAGAACCTTTGGAGATTTAAGATTTTGAACAAACGAACATTTACATTTTTATTTATATAGATTAAGCCAGTAGTATGGCATGTATGATGTTTGATTGTTGAGAAATGCTATGAATCATTGAGGAAGAAATATAGGCATGTGTACAAGATATAATGATCAGGAAAAAAAAGTATTGCATGAAGCTGAACTTATGAGAGATTTAGGAAACCCACAAGCAGTATATAAATTCCAAAGTTTTAATTAAGGGAATGTCATTCTAGAAGGTGCAAATGCAAATGACTGTAATTAGAATTAGTAGTATATTTGTTCCCCAAGTAAAAGTTGGTACAAATAGTTGGGCTACATTATTTGATGTGGGGAGAAAAATAGCTGTTTTAAGACATCTGAATATAACACTGAAAGAATTCACTGTTTAAGATACTTTTCGCATCTCAATATTTGAGAATGATCACCTATAGACAAGCATAACATTTTAAAAGTGTCTAACTTGCCTGAAAAGGAAATTTTTTACCTCCAAAAATGTTCCATAGAGGTAAAAAAAGGCTGTCTTTTCTTACTTGATCAGCAATACAGACTATATGGCCTTTATTTCACCACTGATTAATGTACAAATCATGCAGCCATTTTTTAATTTACATACCCATATAAAATCTGTTCAAACTTTTCTTAACCTAACCAGTAACAACTCCCCTTTGAAAGGAAACACTGATGCAATTTGTCGTTCTTTATAGTGCCTCAGCATCTGTATTAATTCATTTCTCTACCATACGCACTCAAAGCAATTTATTTCTGTACTTTCATAATGATGAGAGAAAATAACGGCCCACTTAATAAAACCATACACTTATATTTAAAACCACTAAAAAAACTATTACTGTACACTTGATATTGGTCAGCTGATGTCTGAATGGACCCTGCTGAAAAATATTGGGACTGTAATCAATTATTGTTGCAATCATCTCATGCTGCAGATATCAAGGGATAAACAGATATACAGAACAAGAACAAACTAAAAAAACAGAGGAAAAAAAGGAATAAAAATTAAGAAATAGTTATGGCTAAAAATCCATATAGTAGTGGTTTCATAATTTCTTCCAAATATATTCATTTTAGAGTGAAAGATTAATTTTCCAAATACAAAAGTACATACCGGTAACTACATCAGATCAGAAATTATTATGTATCCATCAATGGAGCTAAAAGTAGTGGCCACCATTTAAATTATTTAAAATTAAATTTATTAAATTTAATAAATGTATTTATTAAAATTGTTGTAACATCGGCTCACATTGCAGAATTTAATGACAAAAAATCTTACTCAAACAAAAACAAATTGTTTCAAGGAATAATTGGTTGTTTTTGCAATGCATTAATCATCACACCCTATGCCAAGCACATTGGGCTAGAATGCATGGATACCACTGCTTATTACAGTCAAAATATTACATGATACATCCTGGTATCTTATGAATTTATAGCAATAATTTTACAAAATCAGAATTTATTTAGCATGTCCACTCAAAACTTCTGCATCTTATTTTTTTCCAAGTAATTCTATTAAAGATTATAATTACAATAGCACTTCTTCTATATCACATATACAAGTGTTAGAATCTGGCTTAAAGATCTTAAGGTCTTCAGGGGCCTGTCCACCTGAGATCAGGTGTTCGGACAAAGGTCCTTCCTGGGCTGTAGTGTTGCTCTTCTGCTCAGCAGGCTTTCACTCTGCTACCCTTTAAGCACCAAGGGGAGATTTATAGATAGGTACCGATCTAGGTATAGATCTATCCAGGACATGCACGGGATGCCTGGGATGTGCTTCCTCTCCTCTGCTCCTCCTCAATATTCAATTTTGAAAACGAAAAAAAAAACCCACAGAGGTAAAGATGCAAATGCCACCTTCGGTTTCCCACGAAATAGCAGCAAAGTGTGGAGACCTCCC